CTACTCAGGGAACCATGGTTACACAAGTAACCTGAGATGTTTTACTCTGTTTTTAGGAGTGTGATGAGAAATGATGCCTGTGGAGCATAACTGCTGGACAGACTTCATCAGGACAGACAGCCGAGAGCCACTTCTTATCTTTTAGACAAGGACATGGTGGCCATAAAGATGTGAATGCTTGGGTGGCATGAGAGAGCAGTCATCAGCCTCAGAGACTGACAGAACGGGCCACTCAAAATGATTCAGCACACGCTGCACAGATTCAATCCATCACGCATGGAAGTGATGTATGAGTGAGCCGCTCTCAGCCCAAACTCATCTCCTCTCATCTCTCCTCCGCTCCCCGTGGCCCAAATACAACAGAAAGCGCTCCATTTAACATTTTTGAACAGAGAACAAGCAAGCGAACTGCTGCTTATCGATTCTAATATGGAAACGGCTCCTGTGCCCAGCTGGCCTTCATTACACAAAAGAATAACACATACTGAGATGACGATGGAGATTTTATCATCTTTACTTACAATAACTATTGTTTGATTCATTTTACCTTAGCAAAGGATGTCTTTTATGTCAAATTTGCTGTTTTCACACACTTTTATCTTACTTTAGTTTATAGAAAATATTATATCACCATACAAGGGTATAAATCTGCCACTGCTCCAGTTTCACAGGGTGTACCTCAAGGTTCAGTTCTTGGTTCACTTCTGTTTATCATTTATATATATCCACTTGGTGACATCATATGCATGCATGGACTTCAATTTCATTGCTATGCTGATGACGTTCAAATGTACCTAACCACCAGCTCTGATAGGTCATCACTGCCTGACTCACTTACTGCATGCATCAGGGATATCAAGCATTGGATGTCCTTGAATTTCCTTAAACTAAATAATAACAAAACTGAAATATTGATGATTGGCTCTGCTACCTCAGTCAAAAGGATTGACCTGTCCTTTGAAATTGACGGGGTTCATGTTAAGCCTGCTTCATCTGTCCGTAATCTTGGTGTCTTATTTGACTCATCTCTATCTTTTGCCTCTCATATTTCTTCTATTGTTAAAACCTCTTTTATTCCATCTTCGTAATATTGCACGTCTTCGATCTTCTCTAACTCTAGCTGATGCTGAAATCTTAATTCATGCATTAATCACATCACGTCTGGATTATTGCAATGCTCTATTTCTTGGTCTGCCTAAAAAAAACTTATTTCAAGGTTACAGTATGTTCAAAACTCAGCAGCAAGAGTTCTCACCTCCAGGCGTTCTGCTCCTATTACTCCTCTACTGCATGATCTTCACTGGCTACCTGTGGCATCACGTATTCACTTTAAGATATTACTTCTAACATTTAAGGCATTAAATGGTCTTGCGCCTCCATATCTGTCTGACTTACTGTACTCCTACTCTCCTGCCCGGTCCCTCAGATCATCTGAGCTTGGTCTCTTGTCCATTCCTTGTTTTCGGCTGTCCACTGTAGGTGGTAGGTCATTTAGTGTTAATGCTCTTAAGTTATGGAATTCGCTACCCTTTGCACTTCGTAATATATCATCTTTGTCTACCTTCAAGACTCAGCTAAAAACATATTTTTTTAATATGTATTTTGGATAATGTGGCTCTATGTGGCCTTATGTGTTTGTATTGTGTATGTGGGTGTGCAAATGTTTTGTATAGCACTATGAAAAGTGACCTTGAGCTATGGAAAGGCGCTATATAAATAAAACTTCTTCTTCTACTTTAGTTTATTTCACAATATTTATTCAATGATGGGCACTTCTGAACTTGTAGACTTGTAGACATGGTGTGATTTCCACCATGTCTCAAATTATGTATTGTATTTAATAGCATTTAAAGCATCATAACCAGTATTTTATTGTATATCTAAATACACAATTAAATATTATTTCCCCACTTTTGCATAATTTGAAAGATTTATAGTTTAATTGGAAACTACGCACAGCAAAAATATTGTATTTACATTTTTTACTTGATTTTTTTATTAATTTTTCTCACACATCACATGCTTTTCACTGTAACTGTTGTTTTCTTGGTAGCCAAGAACACTAACCTTTGAAAAAATTAATTAGTGGCAAAACTATTGGTTGTGATGCAAATTACATTAACAGATTATATTAATCAAAAATTATATAGATGCATATAAATATAGTGCCTTCTCTTTCTGTTTTCCAATCTATGCTTAAATCTTATTTACTTGGGCAGGTGATGATGGCTTAAAAAATGTGTGTTGTTTTTTTTTAAATTGCCAAATGTTTGAGTCAAATGTTTTATAGCATTGTTTGTTAATTAATTTGTTTATTCATTTATTTTTATTTTAATGCCCTTAAGGTAATTTTATGTACAGCACTTTGGTCAACCCATGGTTGTTTTTAAATGTGCTTTATAAATGAATGAATGAATGTTTTTATAATGAATTCTCATATTTTAAGATTAAATAGCAAAACAATAATGTCTATACGTGACAATAAAAAATTTTTTTTTTTTTAAATTGTTATGTAAAGTTGTGTAAGTAAAATAACTTGGAAATCTCTTATCCAAGATAATAATAATAATAATAATAATAATAATAATAATTGTTTACATAATTTGTACTATTGTTATTTTACTATATTCACTGTTTTGCCAACAAAAATATTTTTGTCATGCTAATAAAGCCGACTAAACTGAAATTGAATTGAGATTAGCAGTCAACTTGCAATAAGTTTCTACTGCGTGACTGATGTGTAAATGTATTTATGCAAACTGTCAAGTTAGTGTGACAAATAGATGTCCATGTATGACGACTAATGACTTTAAGTTTGCATGAGTGAACGTGTGTATCTGACAATAATAACAAATGTGCAGAGATGCAAGAATCTTGCTCAAGACTCCTCGTCTCCACACAGATAAGACAGGAATGCAGCTGACGAATAGAAAAAGAGGTGTGAGTTTATCTGCTGCGAGGGAGAAAGAAAACCCAAAATAAGTGTGTGTGAACAGCAGACGAGGTTCTCCACCCTTCAGAGAAAAAGAGCAGAGACGAACGCATCACCGAGGGCAGCCAACGGGAACGAGGCAGATCCTTCGAGGACGCGTCTGAACTTTTCTGCAGTTTGACACGCATCTCGTTCTGTTCCTTGAGTTCTGACATTTATGAGGCACAGGTCTCTTAGCATCACGCATGCTGCAAGTCATGCATGCGGTGTAATTCCTTGTCACACACACACACTAAAGTAGTCAGAGAGTCGGCGTGCTCCTGCAGGCTAAACGCTGAATAACAATCCTGCAGCAGCTCTCCACGGCCGGCTGCTCTCTCCCATTAATACTCAGCAAGGATTACAGCACCACTACAGCTCCTGATCCATTTCATCAAAAACCATTGCTCTCAAATACATATATATTAATATTAACTTCATTTGAATAACACTCTGTGAGTTCAGATCATTCCTCTGCAAGCTGGAATTACACTCTTATGAATAAAACTCTTCCCACTTGTTCTCTGACTTCAATTTTGTCTGATTTTGGTCGGATTGAGATGACTACTAACATTTTATGTATTCAGTAATATTTTATGTATCAAACTGCATGCAGTAAAATGTGGTTGGTGGTTGAAATGCATCAATTTAAAATGTATACAGCACAAATGTATTCAGTTGGAATGAGTCAATAGGAACTTTATATTGAGAAAGGACAAATATATCAAAAAGATGTATATCTATCAAAGAGGTCAAAATGTGGGAAAACTGTGACAAAAATGAAGAATGTGTAGTTCACTTTGCAAATTAATAAAACAATTTTAATATAAGGTGATAAACAAATATATTAATCAAAAACAATTAATAATTTGTATATGTAATACTTGAAACAGTAGTATTAATGTATGAAAAGTGTATTTTTCAGTTATATATGACAGTCTAAAACGACAGACTGTTTTGATTTTTATTTGTATCTTTTGAATAGATTAAACTTAGTAGATGAAGGTAACACTTCAGTTTACAATAAGGTTCATTTGTTAACATTAGTTAACTGCATTAACTAAAGAATTTATCAATCTTAATGTTGATTTAAAAATTTGTAATACATTATTAAAATCAAAAAGTTGAGCCAATATGAACTAACAATGAGTAGTTGTAATTGCATTAACTAATTTTAACACAGATTAATAGATACTGTAACAAATGTATTGCTCATTAATAGTTAATGAATTATTAATGTAAAGTCTTACCTATTAGAATGAAAAAAGGGAACAAGTGTAGGTAAAATAAACTTCAGCCTACACCTTTTTAGGTTAATATGCAAAATTATGTATATTTATTATGAACAATTGTGTATGAGGACCGAAATAAATTTGGGGATCCATATACAATGTGACTTGGTTTCACATTTTCTATTTTCTATTTGAGTACCTGTGCCTCGGGCAAGGCCACGTCCAGTATGATGGGCTGTCCGCGTGGCTCTCCGTTCTCCAGCCGTGAGTAAACCACCTGGTAGCCGCGGATCTGTCCGTGCTGCTTCTGCTGCAGAGGAGGCTTCCAGGACACCCGCAGGGCCGTGGAGTTCACATTGTCCACCTCAACCCTGCGTGGAGGGGCGCCAGGCACTATGGGAGGGAGAGAAGAAACGTTTAGAGCTCAATCACACACTCACAACACACACAGGTCATTTAAAGGTACAAACCTGCTCCCAGGCTGCAGCCAACACATTTGAACAACTTTTAGTACTGCTAAAAATCTGCTCTCTGTAAAAATAAGTTAACATATGATAAAAAATGATGTATATTTGTTTAAAAAAAGTCTATTTTGGCAATTTCTTCAGTTTTCAAATATTAATATTAAAAGCCTGAGCTTGGGACAAATAAAAAAATAAAATCTATTTATGTTGACATATAAAAATAAAATATTTATGGTATTTTAATAATAATATAAAAATATATTCTTCTATTAATTTAATAATATTTACAATTATATTTTACAATAAATTTTTCATATATTAATATTAAAAGTCTATCTCTGGGACAAGGGTAAATCAATAAAACAATACAATCTATATAATAACAATAAAAATAATATGTAAAATAAAATAAAAAATGTAAAAATAAAATGAAATATTAATAATAATAATAAAGTAGGTATGCAGTTATCTACCCTCTATAATTCACTTTAGACATTACATTTCTCAAATACACAAAAGCCTGCAAAAATTAAAGGGATAGTTCACCCAAAAATGAGCATTCAGCCGTAAGACCTTCATGTCGCACCAAATCTGTATGACTTTCTTTCTTTGTTTTGAAGAATATTCACACTCCAAAAATAAATGCATCATGAAAGCTCTCATGAAATAATTTAGACTGAAAAAACAGCTTTTTGTTCATTAAAAATAATAACAATAAATAAAAATAATAATTAACATTTTTGTGCCTTTTTAGAGCTTGGTGGTCACCATAAACTTTAATTGCATGGAAAAAATCAGTGTAAATATATATGTCATTCAGGTTTAAAATTACATAAGGGTGAACTATCCTTTTGACATACATTTCACAAATACAAATGTGTTGCATTGAGAGCCTGGGAGACAGGTTTCACCAGACCCACATAACGCTCCCGGCCAGCTCAGCTCCCCCTGGAGTTTGGGCTGACATGAGTGCAAAAGAGCAGCAGTTCAGTAGATGTTAATGACAGTCAATAGAGGAGGCAGTGAAGGGAGGGAAGACAGGAGTGAAGGTTAAAAAGCACAGCATTAAGAGATTAATAACCAGATAGAGAACAGCCTCTCCCATCCCAGAAGTAACAGCTCAGAGCGCAGAAGATCTATGGAGACTCGAGTGCTGAACGTCAGCAAAACAGGCTGCTCTTAATTGGAGTCATAAAACTGTATAAATGTGCTTGGCGCTGGCTGGAATTCAGCCTTGACCTTCAGACGAGAAAAAAGTCAATGCCTGAAAACAGATAAACAAAACTATAGTGCACTTCTGCAGATGTGTGACCCGAGCTGGAACGAAAGCATCGACACGGTCAATTTTAACAGCATGTTTGTGCAAGTTTAATACAAGTTCAGCTCAATCGACACCCTTTGCAGCATAATGTCAATTACCACAGACACAAATTTGGGGAAAAGATTTGAACTTACAATGGAGTAAACTAGGCCAACATTACAGGGAGTTGAAAGCTAAATGAATAATTCAGTCTTGCACGTTTCATGTGAAAGTTCGCTGGTTTACTGGCCTTACGTATTCTTGACATTGTTGAAAAATTGCATCTGACTGTACACAGACCAGGTGAGTAATCGACTCTATCACACTAGCATTTATGTTCAATTCCTCTCATTACTCTTTTGAAACTCTGTGTATTTTAATTAGGGCTGATAATTTTCAAACTTTTTATTTACAGAGCAGAAATATATTAAAAGAATTATCTTTCTAATAAATATAATTATTCTAAATAAGCATCATCATTCAATTTCATAATCACAACAACTCAATGTTCTTCATTGTTTACACTTTTTACCAATGAATAAACATGCCTTTTGTAGTTTTTATTATTTTTTACTGACAAATAGCAGTTTTCATCCATATTACATCCCAATCGCCATCCAATCCATATTATTTAAAAATTTTTTTTTAAATGTAAATGACTTAAGATCAATGTTTTTTTTTTGTATCCATTTCCATGACTTTACCAGGTTAACAAATCACACTTTTAAAATTCCCTCATACATACAAAAAAATAAATAAAAAAAAAGTAAAAAAAGAATATATATATACACACACACACATGTAATTTCAGCTCATATCTTTATCAGTTTTAGCTTATTTTAAACCTTGTTATTTTAAACAATTTTAAGGCCTTTTTGGGGCCCCCTGGTTGAGAACCACTTATGTAGACTATTATTTTTTAATAATTATGCAGTTCTAATTTTAATATTTATGTCCTAGAACTGTGTACTAACTTTGTAAGTGTAACACACTCTCAGAAAAAAAGATACAAACGGTCACTTTAAAAAGGTAACTAACATGTACACTTTGGATACTATCATGTGCTTTTAAAGTACTAATATGTATTTTTAAGGTACTCATAGGGGTAAATAAAGTACAAAGATGTGCATTTCAGCTTTTGTACCTTAGGGTTCTGCCACAGTGACAGCTTTTTAATGAGAGTGCATTAATCAGAATTTCAAAACAATACAAAACCTTTGAGAAGTCAAATTTATTTTCTGTGTCAATTGATGTTATGCCACAAGTGCTGTCGATAGTGCTTAACTCATATTGAACGCATAACATTCCTTTGAGGGATGAAAGCGCAGACTTTGCTCCTCAAATCTTCCATCTGCTTCCGCTCAATCCTGACGTCTGACTCCGCCGTCTCACACTTGCTCAACTTTCACTTTTTCTCGTCTCCATGGAAACGCTTGCAGAGAGACGAACCGGACGGGATGGGTTCACACTATGCTCGCTGCTCACAGCCACTTCATGCCACTCCAGCTCTTAAAGCACATTACCCACAGTTCCAGGCACGAAGGCAATATTGCAGGGAAATTACACACATGCTGGCGGGAAGACCGACGGATCCATAATATCATAAAGATCACAGATCACCAGCCTCATGCAGGAAGTGTGAAAACAGGACGTGGTCTACTGAGACCTGCTTTACGCATCACAGACCGCATCTAATCACAAGCTACTAATATGCAGCACAACACATGGGCTGTTTTTATAAGGCAGTACAATACATTTCTGTGAGAATACAGCATGCATTCAGATCCTGTGTGCCGTGACCTTGCTCCAACTACTCATTCACCCAGCAGCCCGGCACTTTGCTTTCCTGCGTAAAAAACATTCATAACTGCGGTGAATAAACTATCAAGCTCAGAACGCCTCAAACCAAAGTGTGTGCTTTGATTTATGAGAATACACAAGGTTGAGAAATGTAAAAAAACACTCTGTACTGTCTGGGATTCACTAACGAACGATCTCGTCGCAGCAGTTCTGCTTGATGAATATGGATGTCAGCGAGCTTCTCTGAATGGGCGGAAAAGGTAAGAAGAACCGATGGAAAAGTTTTCAGATAAAAAACACAGCTAATTTATCAATGGCTGCACCTGCAGCCTCGCCTTTTCACTTTCAGTCAGCGCCGTTAAAGCCTTATCAGCCACTGCAGTGCATTATTCTCGCCAGAATATGCAAGAGAACACTCAATAGCTTGGTTTATCTCATTTTGGTCTGATTAATAACCCTCCAAAAGAACCTGAAATGAAACTGAACAACGCATATAAAGTTAAGTGCATCAACTTTAAAACAGGCCCCAGGCCTGCATGAATCTTTCGTTCAGAGTTTTGTTCCTTGCTAAGCTTAGCATCACTACCACTATTGCTCATGCTTGACTCAATACAGGCTTACATAAGATGTACTATTACTGTTTTAAGCAATCAGTCTTACCATTTTTGCTCTGCAGACGGTAAAACATTCCACAGACTTACATTGCAGGAAAGATTCAAGCTATATCTAGAGACCAGAATAGCACAGAAACAACCACCCAGAACACTCTAGCAAGTGTATATCAACACCAGAGTACACAACTACACTGTTCTAAAGTTTGGGGTCGGTAAGATTTTTTAATGTTTTTTAAGTCTCTTCTGCTCACCAAGACTGCATTTATTTGATCAAAAATACAGTGAAATCAGTAATATTATGAAATATTATTGCAATTTTAAATAAGTGTTTTCTATTTGAATATATTGTAAAATGTAATTTATTCCTGTGATCAAAGCTGAATTTTCAGCATCATTACTCCAGTCTTCAGTGTCACATGATCCTTCAGAAATCATTCTAATATGCTGATTTGCTGCTCAAGAAACATTTCTGATTATTATCAACGTTGAAAACAGTCGTGCTGCTTCATATTGAAACATTTAGAATTATTTGTGTGAATAAAAAGCATTTTTACAAAAAATATTTTTGCAACTATGTAAAGTACTGTCACGTTTGATCAATTTAATGCATCCTTGTTGAATAAAGTAATAATTTCTTTCAAAAAAAGAATGGTAGTGTACATTGAAGGAGAAACTGGACTCATATTTAGATAGCAGAATATCACAGAGATTAGATTTGGGCCAGTGAGTATCCACTTAGCAACTTCCCTGAACACCCTGACAGCCGCTTAGTAATGCCCACAACATCCTAGCATCTTAGCTGTGAGTTTTGCATGAGCAAACACCACTCACTTTTCCTTCATGAAATGTAAAAATGTAGTTACATCATACTCTGAGTGTATGTGCATGTGTGTGTGTGTGTGTTTGTGCATATGTGGGGCTCGTTTCTGCATGTTTCTGTCTCCTCTGGGCTCAGCGGTTTGATTGACAGGTGAATGCCGGAAGTACATGTCCCTTTTCTGTTAAGCCTGTCAATCAAATTCTGATATCCCATCTCTTCTCTCTCTGTATGTCTCTTTTTCCTGGAGGCAAGTGTTTTTTTTTTTTGAGTGGTTGCTATCAGTGCTGCCTGCAGTGGCAGTTTCTATCTCCCTTAACAGTGCTGCTTTTCTGTATTATTTAAGCCATTTGTAACCCATTTTATTTGTAACAGAATAAACACTCATTGATTATTTTAATCCTTCCTAGACACGTATGATATTAACTCACTTATATATTCACCTTAATAATGTGGCACAGCATGACTTACAAAACTAGTCATGCTAATTAAAAACAATGAATCTCATTATTCCTTATTCAGAACAGAAATGACTCTTTAAAATGCTACTTTTTAAGAGTCACTTATGTTCTTCAATCAGAATGATTAAACAATGTCAAACCTTTTTTGCTAGTGTGTCCTGGGTGTTTTTAGTGTGTGTGTGCTCTAAGAAATTAACACTTTTATTTAAAAAGGATGCATTAAATTGATCAAAAGAGGCAGTAAAGACATTTATAATGTGACAGAATGATTTCAGATAGATGCTGTTCTTTTGAACTTTCTATTCATCAAAGTATCCTAAAGAAAATATATCACGGTTTCCACAAAAATATGAAGCATCACAACTGTTTTCAACATTATAATAATCAGAAATGTTTGTTGAGCAGCAAATCAGCATATTAGAATGATTTCTGAAGATCATGTGACACTGAAGACTGGAGTAATGATGCTGAAAATACAGCTTTGATCTCAGAAATAAATTACATTTTACAATATATGAAAATAGAAAACAGTTATTTTAAATTGTAATAATTTTACTATATATATTTTTTTTACTGTATTTTGATCAAATAAACACAACCTTTTGAACAGTTGTGTAAGTCTGTGGGATTTTTCTACCCATTTCATATTAACTATGGCTAACAGTAATAGTAATAATTGTTTTAGCAACATCTATAAGAGGCTTCTCTAAATAAAGGTCTGTGTTTCTGTGTGCGAGCGTCTCAATGTACCGTGTGAACCCCACCGAAACTCTCAGTTCGCCCACTCATTCTGAGTCTTTTCATCGCACAGCGAAGACTGACTCACAGAACAAAACCTCAGCGCTGTCCTGAACTTTCACTCCACTATAGAGACAGAGAGCCCAGCTCCTGCTCTCTCGCTTCCTCTGTCTGGTGCACCAGAGCCGCACATTAATAACAGAAGAGTGAGGAACAGCAGGCGTAAACTCCAGCGTAATAGAAGAAAGAGAGAGAATCGCACAGGGAGGCGTTGATTCATGCCGTTCAGCCAGGAAACCCGGAACGAGGAGTTAGTGCTGGTGAGTTTGGAGACTCAGTGGTGCTAGTTAGAAGGTGCGGAGAGTAGATCTGGAGCACCAGTGAGCCGAGCATTACCGTCCTCTTTGGTTCTGACGCGGGTGCTGCTGCTCTCTGGGCCGGGCCCCACGTCTGTGTGCGCTTTGACCCACACCACGTACTCCGTCCACTTCTCCAGCCCCTCCAGCACGTAGCTGGACACATCCGCGGGGATGTCCTTGACCTCGTGACGCTGCTGGTCCTCGCCTGACACCGCCTGATAGGCCAGAGAGTACCTGACGATGTTGCCGTGGCGGCTGGCGGCTGGAGGAGCCGCCCAACTCACCTTGATGCTGGTGGAGCTGAGGCTGATCAGGTGCACTTCCTGTGGGGGGGCGGACGGGGCTGGAAAGGGGTGCAGGAACACATGAGCTGGGACCAGTTGCATAAACTTAGCATCTGTATGTCTTAAGATCCAGTCTGACTAACCAGCAGTTTGCCATGGGGTAATTGTCTTATTTTTCAGATTCAAATAGTCTATCTTTTCATGTAACTGATTTAAAGTTATGACTAACTTGTATGCAAGTTTATGCAACCGGCTAGCAAAGAACATAAAGGTTCTTTGCAGAACTTGAGTTCAAGGATTGAAGAACCCAGGGTTCTTGAGCTGGCAAATACAGGCAAACACACATAGAAGTTAGTATCTGTGCACCATTCTGGAGGATTCTAAATAGACTTGATGCTTTGATTTAAAGGATACTGCTCAAAAGTTTGGGGTCAATAAGATTTTTTTTTTTTGGAAAGAAAGTACTAATTTCATTCAGCAAGAATGCATTAAATGGATCAAAAGTGAAAGTAAAAATTTTACAGTGTTACACAAAAAGTCTATTTCTATTCATCAAAGAATCTTGACAAAATGTGTTATGGTTTCCACAAAAATCCGAAGCAGCACAAATGTTTTAAACAATAAGAAATGTTTCATGAGCAGCAAATCAGCATATTAGAATGATTTCTGAAGATCATGTGACACTGAAGACTGGAGTAATGATGCTGAAAATTCAGCTTTGATCACAGAAATAAATTACATTTTAAAAATGTATTACAATAGAAAACCGTTGTAATAATATTTCACGATTTTACAGTTTTTACTGTATTTTTAATCATATAATGGTGAGCAGAAGAGACTTCTTTCAAAAACTTCTCACCAACCCCAAACTTCTGAACAGTAGTGTATGTCTGTTAGAAGATGAAAAGTGAAGCCCTACTGGGGTCTTTAAAGCAGTGATACACAAATCTTGATACACAAGACTTGCACACATTATTTTGATTTTTTTCTTTAAACTGAAAAAAATGTATCACAATTCATCTATTTTGATTTGTTCTAACGTCAATAAAATCTGGAACCTGTTTAAGTCCTCGTAGATGAGAATCGCTGCTTTACACACCAATACAACTTTAAAAGTTTCCGCTTCGGTGTCAAGCTATAAAACACTTTTTGGAACCTTTCTTTATAAGCGTGAATACTGCATTATTTTATTTAAAAAAAAAGTCTGCACATACTGTAGTCTAAATATTGTGTTTTGAGGTGAAAGCAGAGATTGATGGCTCACTTCTACTCTGTATCTGTGTAAGTATGACAGAGATAACAGATACATTCTGTCTGACACTTTGGCTAGACATGTAATTGATGTGATTGATGGCCTGTCTAGTGTCTGAGATGCTCTATCGATTTACTTTTAAAATCACTTGAGTTCACAGAAAATCCCACCGCTCCTGTCTATCCCGTCCTGAGAACATGGCAAACTAAAACAATATACAGTAGGATTATTACACGGCTCTCTGGAATACTTGATTCAGACTGAAAAAGCAGCAGACATAACATATTGGCCTTTCTGAACGATATCAGTGATGGAGTACGTATGCGGCAGCACTATGAAAATGTGATAACCGTATCGCTCCTGTGTTTTGTTCAGCAGAGCAGGCGGAAAATGGCTTCCGAGGAAAAAAATAGGTAAAATAAGAGGTTTGACTCCACACAGAAGAACAAGAAACATATCCGTGAGTGTGAATAAGATGGTCTACACCTGTGGACTGAGAAAACCAGGAGAGGAAATGAAGAGAGAAAAGACAAAGTGTGGGAAAAGGTGGGAGCAATGGGTGAGAAAACAAGATTAAACAGGGAGACACAGAGACACTGAAATTCTGAAATTCAAGTGGGAGTTGAGAAGAAAAAAAAATAGTGAGAGAAAGAATAAATACAGGGAATTGAGAAAATGAGCACATGGTTATTATGAGAGAGAATGAAGTGAGGAAACAGAAAGAGAGCAAGTTTATTTGTCAGCTGCAGCAGAGGAAAATGTGAGTGAAATACAACAGGAAAAGAGAAAAGTGAAGAAACTAAACAGAGAGGAGAGAGACACTGGTCACTGAGGAGAAAAAAACAAGACAGCAAGAAAAAAGCGATGAATAAAAAATATTAAAGACAGCAAGAAACGGAGCAGATGGTAATGAGAGAGAATGAAGTGAGAGGAAAGCTATATTAACGGTGAGAGAAAGCTATAAAGAGGTGTGAAAGGTCAAGCATAGTGAGCTGCCGACCTAGACAGGATATTACAGGATATTTTATTCTTTTAAAAAATGCTTTTTTTTTTTCATGTCTTTTTTTTTTTAAGTAACCATGAAATCAAAATGGACAGTTCTTATTTTTTAATGTGATATTGCAGTGTTTACTAATTTATATATGCACATCAAATTTTTTTTTTAATTCATGTGTGATCGCAGCAATTAGCAAACGGCAATGATCCAATCAATTCCAGATGGACAAAATCAAGACCCGCCCTACATTTTTTTTCTAGATTGAGAAGCCATTTCACTCTTATTTAAGTCACAACAGGGAAGAAATGATCACAATTTGTTTCATGCTGACTTTAAAATGTTCATGCTGCTCTCTAGATTGAGAAGCCATTTCACTCTTATTTAAGTCACAACAGGGAAGAAATTATCACAATTTGTTTCATGCTGACTTTAAAATGTTCATGCTGCTCTTTTGCTGCTTTTTAAACAAAAACATCAAGTAAAGGAGTCATAGGAACATTTTTTTCCCTTTTGAAACATGACGAACGGGGTTTAAAAGACAATCAATATTCAGTAATATTATTGATTTAACTGCACTCACTGAATTAAGCTGAATAATGACTGTATTATCTTCTGTACAGCTGCTTTATAGCTGAAATTGAATTTGTTTCATTAATGATGCCTCTTACAACATTAAACCTGTTATTTTCCTGTTAAACCTGTCTATTAATGTGAAGCTGCTTTGAATCAGTCTGTATTGTGTAAAGTGCTATGCAAATAAATGTGACTTAACTTCACTATGAACATTCAAAAACTTCCTGTGTTCTGTGTGAAGTGTATTAAATGAGTCACCCATTAAAGTTGGGTTAACATGCTCCCTTAATAAGGTAACTGCTTATGTAGGCAGTGAGGCAGCTCACTAGGATCTGGCACAGAATTACAGAGACAGAGGGATTTTGGTGTCTCAGGTCTTTGAGGACTGTGACTCAGAGACGCTAGGACAAAAAAGACGGACTCGGGGACGTAAAGAAAAAGCCAGTGTTTCTATGGGAACCAAGCCGTGGCTTAGATCAAACCTCTCGAAGCTGACACGTCTAACAAATAGCTTTGAATAGCAGGAGATCTCTCGGAGGAGCTATTATAAATATCTCAGCTTTGGACCATATCTCTGGAGCCGGAGGAAGATGGGGACAGAGATTAAGCCGTACTGACTGCGTCATCCTGACGCCACCGAGAACACAAACAATCAGCGTGTGTCGCACTCCACGATCACTGCAGCTCTACATGGACTCTGAACCACAAACCAGGACTTTCTGAGACTTTGACACTCAAAAGCCGGTGTGATGCAGCTGAAATTCTGCATATGAAACAAACGCCAGTGCTGCTCTGCTCTGGAAAACACAGGGTCTTTTGTATGGCGATAAGACAAGATAAATAACAATTTAGTACATTTAAGGTGACATACTTTAATCTACACTTTTATAGCATTTCACTGTTTTCACCTCTTGAGCTAAAAATAATCATGCATGCTGTGTACCAATGTAGTAAATATTTCAAGATGATATTTTTGTGCTTTTGATGGTCAAATCTTATTTGTAAACACTTGCACTAAATGTCTCATAAGTGAGTGATATGGTGCAGTATGGTTAACACAACAAAAATGGAAAAATATGGAAAGTAACGTACCTTATTAACAATCTTTAGCCGAGTGACTAGGCCAGTACTGAGCTGCTAAGAAATGGTCAAAGTCTAAGATGGTCATAGTTTGAGTTAGTGAACAGTTGACACTTACTGGACTGGGCCGTCCGAGCCTCTATGGGCTGTGTGTACACCCCGAGTCCCATCTCAGAGCGTGCGGCTAGAGTAAACTTGTAGAGTGTGTCTGGCTTCAGGCTTTCAACAGCATATGAACCAGCAGGATTAAAGATGACATGGTGCTGTGATGGATAAAAGACAAAGAGAGAGTGAGAGGCACACACAGGCTGTTCAGAATGCATTATTAGTGTACAACTGCATGCTGCATAGTATATACTTTATAGTGTCTGTTTTTTATGTGAAACAGTATGCAGTATGCAACAAACTGCACTGTAAAATGCAGTGTTGTCATTGTTAAAACTTATAAACCTTATAAACATTTTAGGTAACAAAAAAAAATACTTAAACATTTTTAAAAAGGAATTTAGAAATGTTGCCCTGGCAACTAAACAAGTTTTAAGTAGAAATAAATATAAATTAATGTTAAAAAGAAATATATAAAAAAAAATGACAAATGCACACAACTGAAAATATACAAATATAAGCTAATAAAATAAAATAAATAAAATGTATATGTAAATATTGTTGTCACATAACCAACATTGCATGTTAAATTCAGTGATGCCCAGTCAGCATATAAAAATAAGCAATTTTTTGGTAAAAATAAATAAATGAAATATTTATATTTTATATATTATTATTGTTAGCCCATAAAAAAGACAAAAGAAGGTAAAATCAATATTTAAAAAAACATAGTTGTATGGCTGATATCAGAGTCATGTGTTTAAGATGATTGCATAGTGAGCTCATGTTGTGTATTTTACATTGTATACTGTAAGTCATCCAGGTATTCCATGCATATAGAAAAAAACTTGCATTCTGCATACGTACTGCAAACGGCAAAGATAGCATGTGCAGTGTGCTAATAATATCATAGTGAACTTACTGTAGCCATTCACCATTCTGTAGAGTCAGTGATCTTAGCTGTGTTCTGCCTTTACCTTGTTGTCAGTGCCGGCCTCCCAGTATGTGAGCTCATATTTGGTGATCTGATCCTGGACGGGCCACAGCCATGACAGCATTATCCGGGTGTCGAGCTCTGCCTCTGCTTCAAAATTAGTGGGCTGCGCCGGCACTGCAGTCAAAGATGGAGTTTGTTTTACTATACACTTAAATCACACCATTATATTGACTTTTGAAGCGAACTTTTGTAATGTCTTTCAATAATCTTCATTTAGGTATGTTGCTGAATTATCTTTTCTTCTTTTCTCAGCCCATATCGACCAGAATTATTTTTGTAAAAAAAAAAAAAAATGTTTTGTTAACTTAACAAAGCTTAAATAAAATATAAATTAAAATAAATACAAAATAAATAAATAAATTAAGAAATTAAGAAATATTACCTTGGCAACTACGTGAAAAAAGTTTAAGTGGAAGTTATTAATAAATAAAAATAGAAATATATAAAACATATTGAAATATAAATAAATTAAACCTAAACAGTAATATTTAAAAATAACAAAAACTAATAAAAAATTATAAAAGCACATAACAAAATTTCTGAAACAAAAGAACTGAAAATTAAATTAAAATGAAATAATAAAATATAAATATAAAAATAAAAGCGAATTAATTGTTTCAATAAAAACTATAATAGCATATAAATAATGCTAAAATAACACTGATATTGATGCCCAGTCAGCATATAAAATTAGAGATTTTAAGCATTATTTTGCAAACAAATAAACAAACAAACAAATAAATAAATACTCATAATATATTATTATTTATTATTATTAATCCATTCAAAAAATACATAAGAAGGTAAAATCAATATCAAAAACATAGTTGATATTGCTAAATTAAACCTAAACAGAAATATTTAAAAAGAACAAAAACTAATAAAAATGACAAAAGCACATAACAAAATGACTTAAAAATTAAATGGAGTATTAAAAATGAAATGAAATTTCTAAATAAAAATATAAAAATAAAAGCTAATTAATAATTTATAAACTGTAATAGTGTAAAACTAAAACTAAAATAACACGGATATTGATATCACATGCTCACTTTCATTAAACAATAAATTATATGGCACATATCTCACCTCCTTGCTGTGTTTTAACCTGCAGTATGTCCGAGGGCGGCCCATCTCCCACAGAGGTGAAGGCCAGCACGCGCAGGCCGTACGTGATGTCAGGTACCAGGCCGGAGATAGTGGTCAGGCTGCTGTCCTCTGTGTTGTGTTTCTGCCATGTGCTGAGCGGGAAGTGCATGTCGGGCGTGTAGTACACTCGATATCCTCGTATCTGTCCGTTGGGCTCCTCTGGAGGTTCCCACTGCACCAGCACGGTCGTGGCGCTCAGCATCCGGGCCTGAACGCGCAGCGGAGGAGACGAGGGCGCCTGTTCACTGGTCCGGGTCTCTACCGTCCCGCTCGGCGGCCCGCGGCCAATGTTATTGACCGCCATGACGCGGAATTCGTACTCAGAGTACGGGCTCAAGCCACCGATGCTGTAGCGTGTTGACGCCACTCCGTCTACTTCCTGGAAGCCGTTGTCTGAGACTTTGGCCCTGTACTGAATCACATAGTAGGATACGGGTTCGGGGTTGCCAGAATCCCATGTTAGAGTTACACTGGTGGCGGTGGTTTCCGTGACGATCAGAGAGGTTGGAGGGCGGGGCAGAGCTGAGAATGCAAAAGAAACAAATGCATTCTCAGCTTCCTGACAATTATGATTGTGAATAATAATAATAATATTGGCAACCATACATGTGCACGAACATCTAAAGTGATCCAAAAAAGAACAGTGAGATTTCTTTAATTACTGTGAATTGACGGCAGTATAGCTCAGTGCACTTCATTTTAACAGCCAGTGAGACTCAATTATATCTAAAACACAACAGAAACGCGTGTGCTGTCAATTTATTTCAAGGACTTCAAATTAATTTCCTAAAACTGTAAATATTTCTCAGTTTGAACAATAAAAGTTGTCAAAATCCAATCAACATCCCAATACAAACAGAGCTGTAATACTGCAAGATCATAACACAATAAAGAATACGCTTTAATAATAGTCAGTCGTACAGTGCTATACTGTTTAGTCTAGTTAAGAGTGTTTTCAGAGCTAAGTGATTTTAGCTACAGATTATTGTGATGTCTGCAAAGACACTAAACCAATATTAAAACTATAAGCATACAGGCCTTACAGAATATCATGATATATGTTCAGGTCAGTGTGTTAACTAAAACTTTTTGAACAATAAAAGTTGTCAAAATCCAATCCACATCCCAATACAAACAGAGCTGTAATACTGCAAGATCATCATAACACAATAAAGAATACGCTTTAATAATAGTCAGTCGTACAGTGCTATACTGTTTAGTCTAGTCAATCATACAGTGCTATACTGTTTAGTCTAGTTAAGAGTGTTTTCAGAGCTAAGTGATTTTAGCTACAGATTATTGTGATGTCTGCAAAGACACTAAACCAATATTAAAACTATAAGCATACAGGCCTTACAGAATATCATGATATATGTTCAGGTCAGTGTGTTAACTAAAACTTTTAAAAACATTTATTTCGGTAACTGAAATTAAATCTGAATATTAAATGAATTACTTAAACATACTTCAAAAAAGACAAGGTAAATTAGAAATGTCTACCTTGGCAATAATACTAAAATAGCACTGGTTCAGATGTTAGATAATAGGCAAAAAAACAAACCACGCAGACATTTTTAGTCCTTGCATTTGAAATATCTGGGGTGTTTTTGCCACATGTCCTGGTTTATTTATCATCCTTAACATGAAAAAGGTGTTTGAAATGTATTTCTCAGTGTCTTTGCTACTAAAGCACATATTCTGACATGCTATCGTATGCCAAACGAATGCAAATATATCCGTGACATTTCTCAGGTTATATACATGCTAATGATCTGGCATTTGACATCAAAGTAGCAAAATTTACTGTGTTAAACACTGCTATTACGATTATTCTGTGTCTGTATCAGTTCAGTCAGCTCACCCTATTTCCACAGGCGGACAGAAAAATGCCTGCATTGTCATCAAATAGCTTCTGCAATCGACTCTAAACAACTTTTGTGCAATATGCGATTGGACAGCTGTCAGAATCCAGACAGATCAGCTTGAATAAGCAGCAGCAGTGTGGAAATAGAAACACTATTCTGGTGTCTGAGCACACCTTCAGTGTGAGTCTATTTGTGTTTTAGCATCATCTTGTTCAGCCTGTGGCTCAGTGGTAGAGCATTGTGTTAGCAGTGCAAAAGGTTGTGGGTTCGATTCCCAGGAAACACACATACTGGTACAAAATGTATATCCAGAATGCACTGTAAGTTGCTTTGGATAGAAGTGTCTGCTAAATGCATAAATTATTAAAATTATCTTATTGTTCAAATCTTTAAACCGTTGTGTGAGAACAACAGTATTTACAACAATGACACAGAGTGCAGCCTCTTTCTAGATTTCACAGTACAGTAATTCAGAGAGTGTGCTCTTTCACGTGTAGGGATTTCTAGTACATGAACGGACACTGCTATGCTCCTATCAATTCCCTTACAAATTTAAGTAGTCAAGTCATCTACACACGCAAGCATTTAACATGATCAATTTGGGACAATGAAATGTTTCGAATGGATTCATTATTGCGCAACAGTGCTAAAAACAATCCTTAATGATGATTCGGAGCTCAGAGATTTTGTTCGCTCTGTCAAGGCGGAATAAAGGAGGAGAGAGATCTCCTCATCACATTTCAGCTCTGATGAAACATTGATGAGGTGATTGCATGTCTGGGTCGGTGGGAATCCCCATGAGTGTGTTATTGATGAGATTTCACTCTCAACGTTTCTGGGCCAAGCCTCCAATCTTTGTTTATTACCGTCTAGATAATCACAGATAATCACTGACTTTAAGTACACAACTGATATCAACGCTAGCTGTATGGATCACTTGGGGACAAAGATTAAAAAAAGCAATTTATTCATTTAAATGAATGAAACCAAGCATACTTCACTATTTTTAGGAATATTACTACTTTACTTGAAAATAAACATTTCTGTATTACTACATTTTGAAAAGCAAATGAAAATACACTTCTCCTTTGTGTGGGTACAATTGTAGTATGCATAACTGATTCACAAACAAATTGAGTTTTTTTTTTTTCTTTAATGTTTTGACCAAACCAACAAATTAACAACTAATTTTTATTTTTGGGGTTATTATGATTATTATTATTATTATTATTATTATTATTATTTTTATATTTTTTTTTAAGAAAAATGTACTTTTATTCAGCAAGGATGCATTAAATCAATCAAAAGTGACAGTAAAGACATTTATAAAATTACAAAATAATTCTATTTCAAATAAATGCTATTTAATTTTTTTTTTAATTAACTGTTTACAACATTAATATTATTAAGAATAATCATAAATGTTTCTTGAGCAGCACATCGGCATATTAGAATGATTTCTGAAGGATCATGTGACACTGAAGACTGGAGTAATGATGCTGAAAATTACATTTTAAAATATATTAAAATGGAAAACTCTTATTTAAAATTGCAATAATATTTCACAATATTACAGTTTTTTCCCTATATTTTTTATCAAATAAATGCAGCCTTGGTGAGCATAAAAGACCTCTTTCAAAAACATAAAAAAATCTCAAACCTTTGAACGTTAGTGTATCTTTAATTATATTTAAGCATGACTACTTTTCATACAAGTGCAAACCTTAAGCAGATCCTGTGTGACTTATATCTGAGGTGAAGCGTCTCTTACCTTTGACAGTGATCTGAGCCGTGGTGTCGATCATACCCAGGGAAGATATGGCCACACAGGTGTAGTTAGCCGACTGCCGGATGTTGGTGAGCTCCAGCACATTTCTGCCAATGGGCATCTCCTCCTCTTTAGTGAGTTCCTGTTCCCCCTTCATCCACTTCACATAGGGCATGGGAGCGCCCACCGCCACGCAGGTGAGGTTCACGCTGCCGCCCGGCATCACCTCGTGATTGGTAGGTGGGATTGAGAAACGTGGCGGAACTCGCCGGACTGTTGGAGGAGCGCAGATGATGTTATATGCAGAATACAGATACTGGAAGTCAGAGAACATGCTTCAGGAATGGCTCTGGCTATACACCAATGACATCTAGGGTCTGTATTTGAGTTATTGTACTGTAAATATGAGAGATATGAAATATGAATTAGCTCTCTCTATATCTTAATGATTAATCTGAACAGACAAATGCCAAGCTAAATCAAGGGAACAGAGCTGAGAGCCTTAATTTACTGAACATTCACCATATAAGAGTCTGTTTTGACAGTAAATACATCTCAAGGCCTTTTTTTGTCTCTACGGTCGAGTCCCCTTATTGTCTCATTAAATTCAATTTCTGCCAAAGCGCTCGAAAACTATTCACTGTTACATCACTAAATGAACTCTGTTTGAATTACAAATACATACTAAAAATGCAGAAGAAGAGGGTCGTCAATCAAGGTGGTCATGAAATAATTTCTTAAGCTTTAGTCCAGTAGCACTGAGTTGTGCAGTGCTTTTTTCTCTGTCACACTATATTGGACTGACAGACGCTCAGGACCTCAAAGTGACGGCGGACAGGTGAATGTCACGTCTCAGATTTGAACTTTAGACTTTCTCATCACCGTGACTGATAGATTAGCAGTGCAATGCACATTTCCTTTATCATTTCATAGATATAAACATGGACATTCAGACTCTGAAAGCTGAGATTTCACTGAATTTCCCACAGAATTCAAATGCATGTCACTTATAAAGTTTTAAACATTTACCACCCTTTGCATGCTTGTTTATTAAATATTATAGATAATTTGATTATGCCTTCAGCCATCAATGAGACTGTCAGATTCATTTAGAATTCTAGTATGTTTAAACAAATTTCACAAAAGTATTTTTTATATATATACTTTCTGGTAAAAAAACTATTTGCCTATGCCTTATTTACATGTTGGCATGACAATGTTCATTGTAACATTGTAAAGCTTTTTTTGCAAAGAAATGCATCTAATTTAGATCAAGAATGCCATGATTTGACAGCAGAATGTCCTCACCATATTTAGTTGGTGTGAAGCCAAAGCCATACCATCCTGTCCACTGAATTCACAGCGAACACACTGTGTATCTCCAGAGCTACCCATAACGAGGAGCATTTTCTGTAGACTTCAAGGGTAAACAGCCTTCTGAGAGCGTCCATGGAGAGCCCGCTAATAAACCGATCTTTTATAATGTCTCTCCTTATATAAAGTGGAATTGTTTTCAGACGGCAGCTGAGTTTAACAGGGAGCTCTGCGGCCAGACATCTGCCTATATTTCACGGATAAACAAGTCTCACTTCAGAAAGAGACTCCAACTCTCTTCCAAATCCGAACATTACCTGCTCATTTCCTCACACAAGAAATGATTGCGGATAAATGAGGAAAGTATGCGGCTGAGGGATTACAAATGCTCAGTATTTATTTGACTTGAATGCAGTTTCTGGAAAGTACAGCATTAACTATCACCCAAAGACCAACAATAATCATTCATCTCGCTCTATCACAAAATAAATACAGTTTTCGCTTTCTGCATTATTAAAGTAGGTAAGGTTGGTAACACTTTTTTTTACGGTGTCCATGTTACAGATGTTACATGTACTTACTATAGTAATAACAATAAATTATGCAAAATTACATGCAACTAACCCTAAACCAAACCCTCATCCTAACCCTAACCATATAGTAAGTACATGTAATAAATGAATATTACTCAGTACTTAAAGGTATAATTACACTGTAACAAGGACACCGTAAAATAAAGCGTTACCGTAACTGCGTAAGAAAATACTGCAAACTTATGCAATGTGACAAATCTGTCCTCGCTGAAAGTGAAATAATGTGTGCAGCAAGAAAAAACTAATCACAACCAACCAAATGTGTAGAATGAGTCTTTCAACCCATGAGATTCCACAATGGGCGGAGCTACATTTTGCCATGCAATGCAATGCAAAAAAAACCCCCTCAATGATGAACTGACAAACGATAGTGGCTAGTAAAGGCAAAAATAGCACATGGTTATGCCACATAATTTTTTTAACCACAAAACCTTTAACTCGGCTGAGTTTTCATATTGCTGAGGTTCAGGTACAGTAAATCAATATTTATTGCAAAATTTATTGATTCAAGTCAGGTAAACACTGAGCAAATTGTGCTTATGGTGTGTGATCTGTATTGGCCGTGGCCAGAGGCTGCTGAACTGATCATCATCTCTGAGAGTTACGCTCAGAGTTTCGACTTTTGGGATTGAGTTAAGTTTGTTAGTCGGGCAGGAATGCCTGCAGGTGTAAGAGTGCAAGAGAGATATCACATTAATCCACGTTAGTCACTGTACATAGAGAGGATGATGTTACCCATGGACATGAGGGATGGTCACGACATGATGGCAAGAGATTCACTCAGTTAGAGGTTGTTAAGAAAGTTTGAGAAGTCTCTGCTGGCTAGTAAAACAGACCGGCGTGAGCGATGTGAGCGATGCCAGCGGCCGTGGTGAGATTAGAGAATGGGCTGAGCTGACTTTAGTCACTGATCTCATGAGAATGTTGCTGGGAGTGTTAACAGAGCAATGAATCTTGCAGTTAGACATGCAGACAAACACATATACATGCATGCACACATTCAATCTGAAGAGAGCACAAGGAGAGAAAGAGGATGTTTTGAAGGGGAGGTTTATTTCATACACACACATGGACACACACAAACAATCCCAAGTACATCAATGGCTGTGCAAGCATGAAGCAAAAAAGCACACATATATAGATAGTCAACAGAGCATACATGACCTACAGACTAAAACACCAATAAATGAAAAAAGAATCCAAACAAATGCATCAAAAACGTACAAAATAGTGCAAAGAAACCAATTTCAGCTTCGTCTGCTCAATAGAAAAAAATACGGTTGGATAACACTCCGAAACAAGCTGTGATCAGAGAGGGATTCTACAACAAGCATACTTCTGATCTTGACAATGTTTCTGCTGTCAGGGATGGACACTACAGTTGAACAGTCTTCTGCAGTGTCAACTCGCTGTAAATCTTCTGGTCTGAGGTGGATTATTGGAGAACCAGTCTCTAATCAGCATCAAAGCCGTGCTTTACAGATTCAACCAACTCAAATAAAAGAAACATGAACTCAGGGTCCAAGAAGAACATGCCAAATAAGAATAAATCTTTTTTAACTGCCAGTTTGGCTGGCTTTATTAGAAACTGCAACATATATAGTCTGACACTCACTGATATACGGTTGCATCTACAAAAACAAAAAAACAAAACAAAGAAAGAAACAAAAATATATATGTCATATTAGTGACAAATACAGTGCTCATCTTCTAACAAGTGGAAAATGTATCATCCAAAATTGATCTAGGATGCATATAGGTTTCTTCTTCAAGAACTTCTAAAATGAAAATATAAATAAACAAAACAACTTCAAAAAGAAGAGGAGATTGGATCATTTCATATATGATGCTTTTCTTTGCCACAAATAAGCCATGAAGTATTTCTATTGTCAGGGAGGAAATTATGTAATTTCAAAGTATAGTTTCTAGGCCAGTAAGAAATAATGGCTAGCAATTCATTCCATAGTGGCACGTGTAGCAAAAAAAAAAAAAAAAACCTTCCTAAGCAGATGTGCGTGAATGTTCTCTATAATAGACAAGAGAAGTCAAATCTAAGACTACAGGGATTATTCGTGTTGAAATGTCTCATTTGTGCTCTGCAGGTGCCAGTGAGAGAGACTGCAGAGCAACAGCGCTGAAGATATCTCGCCCGAGGCCACATAAAGTGAATTATGCATTACGACATGAAGACCTGAAGAGATGATCAGCACAGAGATCGGAGTGACCTAGAAACGACTGCCAGAAACCTGGGTCATGTTAACCCAACCAGAACCTCTTTATCAAGAATCGTTGCTATATAGTTCTTGATGTTACATTATAGATTCTTCAGATAAGTCTACTGGCTTCTGGACTTTTAAAGCAATTTTTTTTCCTAAATCAGTTTAAAAAATACAAATAAAAAACAAATAAATAAATAATATACAACCAAATTGATTGATTGACTGTTTTTTTGCATTAATTATGCACACAACCATGCCAAAATATCTCATTTTCATTACTGTGTAATGAAATGCATCTAATAAATATATAACAGCATTATTTAAAATGTAAGGTACAACTTTAAGTGTAAAACATGGTTCGTTTTTGTTGTATATAAACAAGAAAATATAATTACAAACGAATAATAAATTAATTAATTCATGATGATCAAAATGGAATGCAAAATATAATGTCTTTTGCTTTTGAAGGGGAAATATGACCTGAACATTTTATTTGTGAGATTCATCAAAAAAAAAAAAAAAAAACTCTTAGTGTTCTCTCATCGCATTAAGCTGTAAAACTTTTTCTGGTACAAACTGGAAACTCATTTTTCAGTGCATTTGCTGTGTGAGTCCCGAAACACCACATTGTTTGACAGTATGTTGTTTCTATTTTCCTTACGCTTCCACATTTCAAAGGGAAAAAGCTAATTTGTCAATGTCATGCATTGTTCTTGTCCAACTGAAACACCTTGTTTCTGCGATAATGTGACATGAAGAGGACATTGTCTTCCTCCTATATGAAGAACAGATGCCCGGGTTCAATCGCGCTGGGTTTCTGGAAGGATAATGACACTCTTTTAAACAAACAACACTGGGACGAAAAAGCTCTTTTGCTTTCTGCCATCATATTTTCTGTCTGTTTGTATTGTTCTCCACATCGGAAGTCCTCACCAAATGGCTGATTCCAAGACAAACAATGAAAGCTGCTTTAGCCAGCTTAAATACTTGAGAGCTCAAAAGGCTTTCTGGCAGTTCACAGAACAAGCCCTCGGAAGATGGAGCAGAGCAGAGCAGACGGGATTGCTGCCATCTTTGAAATTTGAACTGGTATATAAACAGGTCTGATCCGCTAAGCTAAGGGTGGATTCCTCAGTTTGTTCTTTGACCTCTGAGTTCAAGCTCTGAGCAACAGCAAATCGTCCTGTTCATTTAGAAAGAATGATGCTGCTGTCCTCTGTTTTCACAAACAAGACCAGCCTACGCTGCACAAAACACCTCCTTAAAACATGAGCATGCACACAAGAAAACTTCTGTAGACAAGTACATAAAAATACTTCAGACAAACAAAATAACTGGCAGAAATCCTCGTGACACAAAGGGTGTTTTCACACTTCACATGCTTCCCATCTTTTGAGATGAAACCAGTAGATAAATGCAAGTGTGATGTTATTTTATCTCAGTTATATCACTGAGATTCTATTATAGTTTTTATTATTATTTTGGGTTAGTTTTTATTTTTATATTTTCAGTTTCCATTTTAATTGTACAATTTTGTTGTGTTTATGTCGCTTTTAGTAGTTATTTATTTATAATGGTATAATGATATTTTATTTAAGGTAACCTTTATTTTATTTCATGTAACATTTTTTTTCATGGTTTTAGTTTTAGTTAACTATAATGACCTTTGTAAAAACCAAAGGAACAAACACACAATTGTATAATGAAGAGTCCTTACACTGCTATAGTGACTGTGCTCAGGACTGCAGTTATATTACATATATACAGTTAAATAATGTGAAACAACTCAAACTAGAAGTGCAGTTTTAAAAACAAGGACCAGATGGATGTTTCTTTTGGGCTTTTGCAATTTGCAATTGGTATGCATGTAAAACAACACAAAACAAATCAAAAAAGCATGCCTGAAAAACTCAACATTGGTTTCCATTTTTTAAACAAATGCACCATAGATGAAGCCAAAAAACCCAATGCATCGATCTCAGGTTCAGACCAAGTAGTTGAAGTGTGAAAACAGCCTAAAAGATCCCTGAAGTTGCTTTAGGGCTCTTTACACAAAACTACAAATGTCTGAAAACAACAAAACATCCACAGTTCTGACACATGCATCATGAAGAAATAGGCCAAGCCGAAATGTGAGGCAGCAGCATGCATGTGGAAGGGGAGGATGAGAGAGATTCAGGTAGAGCAGAGCTCCAGAGAGACTGGCACACAACAGCAGGGGACGCACGCCGCCTCCCGTCCACCGGCCGACCCTCTGCGTAGGCGGAGAGATAGTGAAAAGAACGCACCTTCCCGCTGGTCTGAGAGTGAGGAGTGGATTGATTTTGGATGGCAGGGTGCGATGATGATGGAGGAAGGGAAAAAAAAGAGAAGAGAGGAGGAGGAGGAGGAGGAGGAGGAGGAAGACAAGGAGAAACAGAGAGAGTAAAACAGGCAAATATTCCGCTTATCCATAAAAGAGACGTGAGACAAGAACATGGAGACAATCACAGCACCAAAACACACTCACACATCCATTCATTTCCAGATTTGTTCTTGTATTGTAAATCAAGGTGTATTTTATGACAGCTTATGCATTACATTCAGGCCAGATTTGAAGTCGATACATTGCAAGCGCATACCGTATTTTCTGAAAAATGAGTTGCACAGGGTCAAAATTGCATTGAGAGAGAAAAAAAGATTTGCATTGGTCACTTGTTCTTATTACAGTTGCATGCCATAATTACACTCAGAAATAATATAAAATATTAGTGAATGAAAGGTTCACAAACATTATAAACACTATAAACATTAGTGCCAGACAACATTTATGCTATTATAAACACCAAATCTATAAGCAAATTTATTAAACGCATCATACAAGTTGCTTCGGAATAAAATTTTGCAGCATGTTTCAGATGATAAAAAGTGGCATATTCCAGAAAACACAGTACTTAACATGCTTTCTTGCCTTGTTGTGGTGGTAACTAACCTCAGAAACAAATTACTATATAATTACTATAGACTAACCCAAACCCTACCCGACAATAAAAAAGTTAGCATTTTTAGAATAAAAAAAAGTACTGAATTGTATATGTGCACCTGTGTGCATATAAATGATTTAATTAACCTATAGTATGTCTCTCTGCGATCTCTTTCTGCCTACACCTTCCAAATTTACAAAAGCACACACACACACACACACACACACACAAATAAACACACAAA